CGGGCGCCGCCCTGCCTGCGCCTCGCCCGCCCTGCCCGCACCCTGCCCGCCCGCGCCTCCTCGCCTTGATCAGTCGCTCCATGTCGGCCTCCAGGTTGACGATGGTCATTCTCTGCATGACGATGTCGAAGATGCGCCGCTCCAGCGACTGCCACTTGAGCCGAGACCCACGGGTACCAGCATGGGGCGTGGTCAGGGACTCTGGGGGGCTCAGACCCACGGGTACCAGCATGGGGCGTGGTCAGGGACTCTGGGGGGCTCAGACCCATGGGTACCAGCCGCCATGCACGAGTGCTCAGGACGGGGGCATTCACGCATGGGGGCTGCCACCAGCCATTTGGGTGAGTCCTCCGTGTCAAACCAAGAGGCAGATTGACCCACACCTATAGAGCCATCGTGCTCCTGTGCTGTGGGCCCTAGGACCACCCTCCCGCCCGGCTAACCCCCCGTAAGCAGGGCCACGGGCCAAGCAGGGAGTGAGGCGGTGAGGGTCAGGGATTGGGGAGCCCTGTCTGACCTGACGGGCCGCGCCCCATTCATGGAGGGCGAAGGGTCTCCCTGGAAGTTGTCGATTTTCCGGTTCCACTGGCGCACTATGCTGGAGACCGAGCGGGAGCCGGACTCCGGGTCCGAGGAGGTGGTGCCGGGGGGCCCCCCCCCCCCAGAGTCCAGCAGGGCTGGCTTCTGGCTCGCCCGCCCGGCGACCCGGTCCGACATGGGCTTGGCCAGGCGGCGCAGAGCGGAGACCTGGGGGAGAGCAGTGCCTGAGGGCTGGGCCCCCCGGGGAACACCCGCAGGGGCGTCACGCCCCCCATCCCAGAGCCGGGGAAACGAGCTGGGAGCAGCTGCAGCCCCTTTCCAGAGAGTCCAGGCTCTCCGAGCGGGCAGCAGTTTCCCAGAATGCACCGGGAAGGGCTGGGGAGGTGTCTGGACCGCGGGCCCCGAGGTGGCCCCGAGGCACCGACGGGGTCGGAGGCAGCCTGGACACGGTCAGCGGCGAACGACGCCACCGACCCGCTGCCAGGACCCAGAGGAAGCTGCTGTGGATTGGACGGGAGCCGGGCCCGGATGGGGAGGGGGACGACGGACACAGCCAGCGTTTTCCCTCCCCCGGTCACTCCCGCCATGAAACGCGCCCGAGGGCCAGCGCCTTGGGAACGACCCAGCCTGGCCTGTTCTGCCAGGAGAGGCCCCAGGGCCCTGCCCCCACCGCGTTACAGCCGCCAGAGGCTCTCCAGACCCCGCAGGCCCCGGGCTGGCACTCACCTCCTGGGTTTTCCTTCGCAGCACGATTTCCTGCTGCCGCTTCTGGGACTCCAGGGCCCGGATCTGGAACTGGGAGAGAGAAGCCAAGCCCCACTGAGTCCTGATGGGGCAGGAGGGACCCAGGGCTCCCCCTCCCCCTTGCTCAGCCATTCCCATGGCTCTGGCCAGCTTTGCAGGTTCCCCTGCTCCATCACAGGGGCTCCCCTGCACGCCAGGGGCTCTGGGCTCAGGCTGGCCCAGACCCCTTGGAAACCCACATTCCCTGCTGCCCCGATCCAGGTGGCATGGGAGCTGCGCGCCGAGCAAGGGGCACAGGCCCAGCCGGAGCGGTGCTGCCCACAGCCCCCCGGCGCGGCTCCCCCCCCCTGCCGGCGCTGCTCCTTCTTCAGCTGGGCGATCTCCCGGTTCCGCTTGGTCTCCACCAGCCGCCTGCGCTGCTGCTCCTCCCGCATCTGCTTCATCAGCGCCACCTGCGGGGGGACGGGCAGGTGCATCATGGCACTGCTAAGCCCTCTTGGCGAGGCCGAGGGGGCTCCCCTCACAACCCCCCCCCCAAGAGCTGGGCAGGGGGAGCCCAGGCACCTGTCAGACAGACAGACAGACTTCCCAGCAGGCACCGCCCCCCCCGGAGACAGGACAGCACCTGCCCAGGTCTCTGTGTCCCCACCCCCCTGGCCCCCTCCTCTGCCAGCCAGGCACCTCAGGCGGGCGTGCTCCTTCTGGGCCACCTGCAGCTTCTGCAGGTCCCGGTTCATCTCCTTCAGCCGCTTCTCGTAGTCCGCCTTGATCTTGTTGGCCTTCTCCTCCGTGTAGCATTCCATGGTGCCTGGGGAGGGAGGCAGGCTCAGCGCGCCGGGCTGGGCGGAGCCCCCAGGCGCCTTCCCCGGGAAAGCACCCTCCTGGGGCGGGCGTGCTCCTTCTGGGCCACCTGCAGCTTCTGCAGGTCCCGGTTCATCTCCTTCAGCCGCTTCTCGTAGTCCGCCTTGATCTTGTTGGCCTTCTCCTCCGTGTAGCATTCCATGGTGCCTGGGGAGGGAGGCAGGCTCAGCGCGCCGGGCTGGGCGGAGCCCCCAGGCGCCTTCCCCGGGAAAGCACCCTCCTGGGGAGGCCGGAGATTAACGCTCGGAGACAGTCGCCTGGACCAGCGAGGGTCCGTTTTACAGCAATAACCCCAGAGCAGAGCGGTGCCGGGGTGCAGGCCCCACGCCATGCGCCGTCCTCCCGGCAGCTGTTGCCGTTCCTCCCCAGAGGGAGACGCGGCTGGTCGGGGGCCCCGGTGAGAGGTGCTAGTGGTGCCCAGCTCGGAACATGCCCAGGACTGAAGGGCCCCGGAGGTGGAGCTCTCCTGCCTTGGGAAGCCACAAGTCTCTCACTGGGAGATCTGAGCTCTAGAGCCAGCTTCGCCGCAGACGCCAGGGCGCTTTGGGCACAGCTCCATGCCTCAGTTTCCCCACGGGGCCACCACCCTTTGTGGCCTGTCTCACAAGGGCGCAGAGCTCGTTAACATGCTCGGAGCTCCTCAGAGGGAAGGTGCCGGTGGAGGGAAGGCCTCAGCACTTTCCACGGGACCTACCCCAGTGAGCTGCCCAGGTCACGGGACCACCAGGCCTAGCCCTAAGCAAGCTGCCGGCAAGTGGCCAAACTAAGTGGGGACCCTGGAGAGGGACCGGCCCCACGAGCGGAGAAGCCCGACACTGAACGGCCAGTGGCAATAGGTGGGAACTGCCAGAGGGGCACAGCTGGTTTGGGCTCATTGGGCACCCGGAAAAGCCCCTGGGCTCTTCTGCAGCGGCATGCGGGGGTGGGGTGGGGGAGCCGGCCAGCCGGGTGG